TCTTTATTTCTTGTAAATAAATGCATAAGTTTTGTAGATAAATTGTGTGCTTTATTTAATTATCTTTTTAAAAGCATGTTTGCCTTTTGCAGAAATAATATCATGCGAGAGAAGGAAAGATGACCCATTTGATTTCAAAAAAGAAATGTTAAACCATTGCAGGCATGTTTGCATTTTTCACTCTTTTTCTTATTATTTTTACGTAATATTTAAAAAAAAATCCATAACTTCTTTTTCTCAAATTTTTTTATTTTATTTCAGATCTGATGTGGAAATTCTTCGGCGATGCTGTGTAGACTTTCGGGATAAATTTATCCAGATTGCTGACATTGACCCTTTTACGTATACAACCAATGCATCATCTGGTATGCTATTTATAGATGATTACACATCCCCTCTAATGCTGTGGGAATTATTCCTAGCCATGGCTATGTAAATAACACGCTGTACAGTTAAAATTCTATCAGATGGTTGGAATTCCTCGCTGCTCAAAGTAGCATTTTCATATCCCACGGACTAAATGGAAGTGTCTAGAAGAAAATTGCTGGGTTTTCAGTCGATGGTTTCTGTGCAACCAGTAATACTGTTTATCAGTATCAAGTATGCTTTTTCCATTGATGCAGAAAGTGTTATCAACTAGATACCGTGAACCCTCAAGACATGCCGAAATCTTGAAAGAATTAAAAATCTTAGTTATAACTTGGAAGTTCTTTTGGAACATAATTTCCATCGAATGAAAAAGAATAACCAAGATTTGAAAGAATTTTCGATGAAGCAGGATATTGTTGATAGTTGTCCCTAGGGATGCCTTTTTTGGGGGGAAGAACAAACAGCGCTGCAGTTCTTGATTATTAAGGGGCATCAAAATATTACGATTTCACCAGCTTATACCCTGGAGTGAATAAATACTGCAAGGACCCCATTGGGCACCCTAAAATCATCACTAGTAGCTTTGATGATATTCATAATTATTTTGGTATTGTCAAATACAAACTAGTACCACCGCATCAACTTTTACATCCTGTTTTGCCAGTTAGATGCCAAAATAAGTTGATGTTTCCTCTCTGTAGGACCTGTGCAGAAAATCTAACTGAAAACTGTCAGCACAGAGCAGATGTAAGATGCTTAGCAGGACCAACAGGGTGTGGAAAAAGTCAGCTTTGCAAAAAATAATTGAATTTAAAAAAACTGAACTTTTTCCGAAATCAGTGATTTGATGGTTGATTTAAAACCGGATATTGATAATATGCGCCTGCGCACAGGTATATTGCCAAATGATAAAATGATCGTGTATCAACCACGTTAGTCATTTGTTCCGTGAACTTCAAGTAACACCGTAACAACCTTTTTTGCACTGTTGCATACAACAAGATCACTTATTTCCATCTCAAAATACCTCTTTGAAAGTGCTCAGCCACACTATATTCTACTTTGAAAATTTCAAACGGATAAATTAGAAGCTAGATTCGGGCAGTACAGACTGATGAGTGGTGGAAACTATCACGTTTCTGTCACTCAAATTTTTGAATCTCAAAGAAAGTTGAAACTTCTTAGTATATTGACTTTAAAGTCTGCAAAGATGGGAACATTCAATATCAAGTCCTTTTTGCAATCTCTAAAAGATAATGAAATTCCTCTTCCTAATTTCTTTTTAGATGTTGTTTATCCTCTGAGATGATTGATCTCGGTAATGATAATAAAAAAGTATTATTGTACATTGGAGGATATAATGCACGGGTAGTTTCAGAATCTTGCAATGAATGCAAAGAAAAAACTCTAAATTGACAAACATTCAGAGTCATCGAAAAGCTCCAGGTGATATCAAGCAGTATTTGTGTGGTCTTGATCTAGGAGGCTTAATAAGGCCTAGTGAATTTCATGATAATGCTGTGTGTTACGGTTCATAAAATATTTCAAACATGTATCAATGATCCCTACGAAGAAGAGTTTTTATAATTTCAGAATCGAAGGTATTAAATCTGTGAATTGGTAAAGGAAAAACTGCTGAATGAAGGCATAGAATTTTCTGGTTCTTGTAAAAAATTAAATAGTAATATTATATATCCTTGTATAAATATTGTTTAAAATATATGTCCAATAATGTTTAAAATAATTATTCAAAATTTGGGAATAATTTGTTCAGTGAATGTCTGAGTTATCTAACATTTCGAACTTACTAGTTTCTAAAATGATTCTCGACTCGAGTCTACATAATGCCAAGGCACTTCATGTATTTTCGGATGTTAGCCAAAGAGCATACGGAACAGCAATTTACCTTAGCGTGAAGTACAATGACAAAATCACTGTTCATCTTATCGCATCAAAGAGTCGTGTTGCTCCATTATAGAAACTGACTCTCCCAAAACTAGAACCAATGGCTGCATTGCTTGCAACCAGACTCGCAAAGGAAATAGAACAGGTTGTAAAGTGAAAAGGATCTCCCACAGTAAATTTTTGGACAGATTCCTAGATCGAATTGTTCTGGATCAAAGGACCTCATCATAAATGAAAACAGTTTGTTTCTTTTGAAGTACTCTTCGGCGGCTCAACGGAAACTGCGTCACCGCAAAGTAATATCAGAGAGAGCAGATTTTCGAAATTGCGAACTGAATTTCTAAGATGCTCCAAATCCTCCTATTCACTGCTGCTACGTCAATGGGTGGAACGAGCAGAATAGAGATTGGATACCCTTTTGACATAAATCACAAGGCAAACGATTACCGCTGCCCAACGTATATACAAGCAAAATATGGCTACTGGCCGTAATCAAGACATAATGGTCACTCCTCAATAAATTCGTTATCAATCAACTCACACTAATTCTTATCCATCTAAATCATAACTCCTTCATTACTGTTCTTTATTTATTTAATCCTTCATCAATTAACTTTGTCTTCCCAGATCAGGGCCTACTATTACCAATTAATCATCATCAGTCCGATTACTAAATAACACACTATAGTACCAATCTCTCTGATGAACGCCTCCACATGTTGACTCACTCTTATTTTTAATAATAGCAATATTTTTTTCCCCTTCTCGTGGTCTTCAATGATTTTGTTTGCTTAAATAAGTAAGTAACTACTTTAATTAATTAGTTTCATTAATAAGTTAATTAGTATTAAACAAGTTTAATACTACTGATTACTGCTGCTGGCAATTTAATCCTGATCCATTACAATCCCTTATTATTACATCATATTACCTTAATTGCCCCATTAGTTAGTTAATCATTTCCAATCCTTAATTGACTAAGATCAGTCACTCATAACAGTTTCTTCCAAGTAATTAATGTCCCATTAATAATCCTCCAAAGCACTAAATAGCACACAAGTTCACCCACTCCCAAAATCTGCATTAAGCTACTTGCAAACCCATAAAAACCAAACACCACAAGTTCGCACTAGTTTTACATCATGGCAAACAACACGCAACAAATAAACAAGTTCATCAAATGCATACAAATAAACCTAAGCAACTGCAGAGCAGCAACTGCTCTCTCAGCCAGGTTCATACAGGACAACAACATAGAAATAGCTTTTCTACTGGACCCATTTAAACAAAACAACCGTCTACATGGCTATCCTAATCAATAGCGAACGCACCACACTAAAAATCAAGAGGCATAGCTGGTAATCACAAAAAGCATACCACTCAATTTTCTTCCGAACACCCAAACAGCTGTCTTTGCTAACATAACACAATCAGGCAATCTTTTCATTGGCTCGCAATATGATAGACCCCACGCAGACCTGTCAGCAGCACTGGATGAGTGGCAAGATCAAATAATCGGCTATCCACTGATACTATGTGCAGATCTCAACGCCAGGTCCATACAGTGGGGTTACAAACATACAGACAGTAGAGGCGACATCATAATCGACCATATGATCCAACACGACCTGATCAGGCTAAATATACACAGTAACCTTTCTACCTTTTATACAAACAATGCACAAGGCAATCCGGACTTTACCATTGGTAACCCGAGGGTGCTACTTTAGTCAATGACTGGTTCATAAGTGACGAACATACTGCGAGTGACCATAGATACATCATTTTCAACGTAAACCAAGATACTATTCAACCAACAGACTTAAAACAAACTTCGGTAACCATAAGAAATTCACACGACTAATCAAAAACAATGCATACAGTCTCAACAAAGAATGCGAAGCAGCTGCAACAGCAACAGAATTAGATAATTACCCCAAAAAACTAATAAATAATGTTACCAAAATCTCAAAGCAGATCTACAAGATAAAAACCTCCAAGGCTCAAACCAAGCCAGCATGGTTTAATAGTAAGCTTAAAATCGATAAGAACAGACTAAGAGCTTTACGTAAAAGATACAACAACTGTCAGGACCCCACATTAAAATTACAAAAAACAAATCAACAAGACATTCTGTAATGCTCAAACACATAACTACGGGGCTGCGTTTAAAATGGCCCATAATAAACTCTTTAAGCCAACCGACCTTAAATTACATATTCCTAACATTAGTCAACCGACAAAACAAGAGGCAATGACCTTCCTCACAAAGCATCACTTCTTAGACAAAGACGCAAACATACCAGACCAGCCTCCTCGAACACAAAACAACACCAACACAGAACCTAGGGTCGAGCAAAACGAGGTATATTCTTATTCAAAACAACAAAAGCACCAGGTCCGGACGGGCTGGAGAAGGGTCTTTGATGCCGACCCAACAGTCTTAACTAACTGGGTCAATAAATGTCTGGAGCTTAACCATTTTCCAAACATCAAATCAGCAACAGTAGTTTATTTCGCAAAACCAAACAAAGATCTAATACAACTAGATGCCTACAGGCCCATATGTCTTCTAGAGAATGAGGCCTTAAATGGCGTAATTTGGAAACGAGTTCCAAAAGATGTGTTTGTAAGTTTGAAAACATTGAAAATTGGAGCCTATGATGCTGTGGTTGAATTTAATGAGGGATGACTGGGGTATTGGGGCGTGACGTATGGGGTATTGAATTCGCTTCCCTTCCCTCGGGCTGTTTCACGTGATAGGATGAAATATTCTCATTGGTTGTACTATTATGTGATGATTTTTTTTCATGTTTTTTGGCAACACCCAGTATAGATTCGTGTATGCATTTCATACGTACATTTCTGTTACCCACTTAGTGGAGAGTGTGGTTAGCGTTACTCGCTTTATGTTTAGTCGTTAAGTTTTAAAATATTTTTTGTTTAAGTTTACTTTTAGCTTTACAAGCTTAAATAAATTATCGATATGGATACTTCACTGAAAAGGAAACATGCTGAAATAGAAGTAAGTACTATTTTATATTATACTCTTTATAAAAGATTTTGTTTTGTATGTTAATGAATATTTTTTCCGGTAGCATCTTATTGTTAACAGTATTCTTTTATCATTAAAGATTATTTTTAAATACAACGTGGCATCCACGTGATCCTGGATTACTTTCAATGAGATCGAGATTATTTCTGTAAATGGTTACATTTATGAATTTGAGATAGTTTAAGCAACGTGGTTGTTGAAATATTGAAATTAGTTATCAAGTAGATTTTTATACTTTGTGTATTAAAAACTTGCTGCGTCACGTGAGCCTGGATTTATTTTTATGAGATTGAAATTATTTCTTTAAATGGTTACATTTATCAATTTGAGATATTTTTGAGCAACGTGGTTGTTGAAACGACGTGATCTTGAAAATGGTTATCAAGTAGATTTTTATACTTTATGTATTGAAACCTCAATAGTTAAAAGAACTTATTTATTAAATTAATCTTGATAGTAAAATTAACTATTATTACTGATCTATTTATTTTTTTAAAAAATTTTATGTTTGTTGTACCTGTTGACTCAAAAATATTTTTCCCTTTTATTTAGACCGTGACAAAGAGAAAAGGACAATTCCAAGAGGGAGCTTATCCTCAACATTACTATCCGATTGGTGACAACTTCTTTGTTCTATCGAGTACCTTCAAGGAAAAGACAGCGATTCATGTTAGAAAGTTTAACCGTTACGGAAGTTTAACCGTTACGGAGTGGGGCTCACTCTTACGCCGAAACAATTCACTGTATGTTTCAAGCATGGCCCTCCCACCTCCATTTTCGACATCGTGGAGATCAATCTTGCTCTTGAGAATGTCAATGAATATGACAAGAGAGAGTTTTATTTGCTCATGGCAGACGACGGCAAGTACACGCTCACCCATGAGCACAAGTGCAGAAGCGGGCGCGTCTACAAGTTTCCGTTAGACATTAGTTTTGCTCAGTGGAACGCCATTAGAAAAGTCCAAGATGACGTCATCTCTAGCTACATTGCCCTTAAGTTCAAGTCCAGGAGTGTCTTGGGAACTTTCCGCACTGTGTCAAAAAGGAGCCTCCCAGTTGAGAAGCCTGTGAATGCCCGCTATGAAGAAGCCGAAAAAGACATGAATGTGTGTCTCACCATCGTCTTATATAAATATATAGGACAGAAGATAGGAATTCGCCCGCCCGTCAGGATTGTTGACGAAGAAGTTGAGATCTGCGACTTAGTGTCCGTCAGAGACTTTAACGAATCTTGCATGTACATGAATGTCACGGGATTAGTTAGGGACTTCGAGAAAGAGCTTAGTGACAGCATGCTGTTCCCTGAACGGGAACCATTAATAAACTTTTTAAACGAACAATATTTAAAAAATATTAAATTAGATGATTGCATAAATGCAGCAAGAAAAGATTTTTGTACTTATGAATTTTAATTTTTAATTTACCATTCTTAAATAAAATGTTGTTGTACCAATTTTGTTATTTTCAATGTTTTTAAGTATTTCTTTTTCAGCAGGCATTGAGATTTTCTATTTCAGGTTGGTTCCTTTTTCTTTCAGCAGGCATTGAAATTTTCTATTTCAGATTGGTTCCTTTTTTTTTCAGCAGGCAATTGAAATTTTATTATTTCAAAAGTTAAGTATTTAGTTTGTTCATTAAAGAACTTTTGTTGTAATATAATTACCAATATAATTATATGCAAGTTTTTTACGATAGTTTATTTTATCTCTTAATCTTTGCAGAAAAAGTTTTAGTTATTTTTTTAAAATTTTCTAAACAATTTTTTTAAATAGATTATGGATCATTTACTTTCATCAGTTTATACGAAACCTGAACATCCAGGAAGTTTTGGAGGTGTAAATGCTATTTATAATTCTGTGAAAGGTAAAGTGAAGAAAAGTGACGTTAAGAAATGGTTAGAGACTAAAGATTCTTATACTTTGCATAAACGGAATCGAGTGATTGTTGGAGGTATAGATGAACAATTTCAAATTGATTTAGTTGACATGCAATCTTTAGCGAAATTTAATAATGGCTTCAAATATTTATTAACTTGTATAGACTGTTTCTCAAAGTATGCTTGGGCTATTCCTATTAAAGACAAATCAGCCAAAAATGTATTGCCTGCTTTAAAAACTATTTTTAGAGAAAGAAAACCTGAGAAACTGCAATCAGATAAAGGAACAGAATTCACTAATAAACTTATACAGCAGTATCTTAAAAATTTAGGAGTTCATTTCTTTACAACGAATAATGAAACTAAATCAAGTATTGTTGAGAGGTTTAACCGTACTTTAAAAATGAAGATGTGGAAATACTTTACAGAATATAATACGAAAAAATATATTGACGTCATTTCTAAATTAATCGATAGTTATAATCATACCAAACACAGAAGTATAAAAATGGAACCAGCCTCAGTGAATATCGATAATCAAAAAGAAGTCTGGAATAATTTATATAGTGATAAGGTGAATATTGATAACCCTGTTTTTCAAGTAGGTGACACTGTTCGCATTAGTAAATCAAAACTTACATTTGAGAAAGGATATGAAAATAATTGGACTCGAGAATTATTTGTCATAGATAAAATAGTTCATCGAAATCCTGTAGTGTATAAATTGAAAGATTTAATGAATGAATCAATCGAAGGTACCTTTTATGCAGAAGAATTACAAAAAGTAGTCAACTCGGGCTATTATCCCGTAGAAAAAGTTATCAAAAAGAGAAAGAAAGGAGGAAGCACGGAATATTTTGTTAAATTTCTAGGTTATCCTGAAAAGTTTAATGCCTGGGTGAGTGATATTCAAAAAGTATAAATAGTGAAACTTAACCTATGAAGACTCATTCTCAAAAATGTCTTTCTATGTGACG